ATGCCGCTTAATCATTTACGTTAATTACGTAAGATCTCCTACGTAGGTGTAGCATTGCTGTTATATGTCTGTATCCTAATTGACCTGAGATCCCCATGGCAACAATACTTTATCCTACGGGTGCATACGGTGGAGCAGCAGCTCCATGGAGCTAAACATCCACTCAGTAAGTTATGTCTAGGCAGTTATCTATGTGTTTAGAGTGTTGGTAATGGTATAATTTGGAGGATCGTTTTATGAAAATAGCTGTTTGATGTATTTCCTACTCCCTCCGTCCGAAAAAGTTTGTCCCTCAAATGGATGTATCTATCACTAACTTGGTGCTAGATACATCCATTTGAGGGACAAGCTTGGGACAAGCTTTTTCGGACGGAGGGAGTATTTACTACTACTCTGTTTCTGAATGTAAGACGTTTTGGCAGTTTAAAGTGAACTGTCAAAATGCCTTATATTTAGGAACAGAGGGTGTAAAATTTAGCATGAATGTAAAATGTAGCCATCTGTCGATTATAATCTTAGCTATGTACCTGAATAGCTAGAAAGATGTTTCCTGGATTCTCAGATTGCATTAATACTCTGAAAATACCTTCTCTCCAATTCGTCATGGTGACCAGCCTGTTATTTGGATCGCAGTTAAACAGTTTGCCTCAGGATGGTTTAGTAATTCCCCGTATCGAGAAAACTTGCATTCTTCCAATTCTTCTTTTTTTCATTTAGTTCTGTTCAAAAAGAGATACCTCAAAATACTTCAATTGCCACATGCAAGAAAGAGGCCAATATGGCAGCTCTTTTGTTCAATTTCTTGTGGAGTAAAAAAAGCACCCCTTAGGGGAATTTGACGTATATACCAAAACTTTCCAAAATGCTCCCTCCGTAAACTAATATAGTGATCTAAACGCTCTTATATTAGTTTAAGAGGGAGTATTACTCATCCAAGGAGGCCCTTGGTTGTTTCTCTACAAAGTTGCTCGTTGCTTTTTCCGTGGACTTCTAAATTGAGATCAGTATGCTTGCTTTTGTGCAGTGTCCTTCCCGGCGATGATTGGTTCATGGATGTCGCTCAAGAGGTTGTCGGCATGATCAGTGGAAGGGGTAGGGCTGCCAATGGGGACAGGGAGATTAACAGCCCGACTGCCTCTGTTTCAGCACACTCTATGTCATCGTTCAGATCCCATGGCAGCTCTTAGTTTGCAGGCTTAGTCTTTTTGTAGGCAGGTCATTGTATAATAAGTAATATACTACATTCTCTCCTTTCATATTCCTCTGATCTTATTTTTTGGGTTTCTGTTTTCCTTCTTTGTTCTGCATCTGCTGTGCTAGCATAGATTGATAATTGTTTGACCTAGGAAACAAAATCCTTTGCAATTGTTTCACAGCGCTGAGTCCTGCGAGCGTTGCGTCTTGCATGACTAGTATATGACATTGAGTTTTGTATCACCGGATCATTCCTTCATCAGGATTTGTGTAGAGTGAACAAGTCATGGGCGAGTCACCCTTGTCATTTTTCTGACTGTAAAGCCAGATGTCGATCTCTTAAGCAAGTGCCACTTTATCATGATTTGTGGGATGATGTGAATGAGATGAAACGTTATATCTTCCATGGAGAGTTGTAGAAATTGTAGTTGTTGCGTTTTGTTCTGAGATTCTATTGCCACATATTATTTTGGATTGGTTTTTAATGAACCTGGCATCTCCAGGAGACAACCAAATGCCCAATCCTATATATGCAACTGATAGGAAATTACTGCGTGTTGCTTGGTCAAACAGCTTGGACAATTTGAATGCATTTTCTATGAAAGGATGAGTGACCACCACCAGTAATGGAGGCGAAAGGTGTCTGTCTTTCAATGAGATGATAACTATTGTTTTTTGGTAAAAGTCGATGTCATGCCTTAGTAATCACTAAACCAACCCCCGAAGTTATTGACCACGCCGAAGCATGATCAATCTAATCATGAGGGTCTATTTCCTACATGCAAGCGAAGAATAAGCAAGAAACTGAGATCGCAATCTGGATATTGCGAATTTAAGAGAAAGCTTTATTGATGGAAGTGGGGGTTTGAAACGTCTCGGCCTGGTCATTGGACATAAACGAAGTACGCAAGTTGTAACTATGGCGAACTTTAATTAAAAAAAAACCCGTCTGAGCGACGCCTCCAGGGCTGTATTTATAGGGGAAAAGAGAGGAGATTTCGTCCACCCTTGATAAGGTGGGACTGAAACACCTCCTGAATCGCTTCCCCTACAACACAGACTCTAAAAACAACCTAAAATAAGGTATTTCAAAATTACATGGCTGGCCCTAAAATAAGGTGGCGCAACATCTATAATAAGCTATGGAGGAAATTTATGAAATGTCATCTTGTATATTTCGTCCATATTCTTGTATGTCATCATGGTGGCTTCAAAGTGCCGACAACTCCGCTAGAAACTTTGTTCTTGTTCCCTTCGCATGTGCCTTCATCTCCACGCTTGATCCTGCTTCAGTGTTCATCCCCCTTGTCCGTGCCAGGCCCTTCATTCCTAAATAACACAATTGTATCCAATTTAGAAAGCATCATATTCTCATGAACATGAATCATTAGCAACAAACGAAAATGCCTGATAATTCAATTAGCATGCGCTAGCTCTAGTAATTGGTCCAGTATGTGTAGTAGCAGGGGTTGTGGGTGTAACTGTGGTAGGGATGTCTTCATCATCCTCCCCTTCTTGAATTAAAGTCATCCTTAATGGAAGCTCGTCTTCCGCATCCAAATAAGGCTTCAATATGCAATGTCAAATGTGGGACTAACTCTAAAATCTACAGGCAGCTCCAGTTTATATGCATTATCATTTATATTCTCTAGCACCTTAAAAGGACCATCAACACGTGTCATAAGCTTAAGTTTGCGTAAATCAGGAAACTTATCTTTCCATAAATATAACCAAACAAGATCTCCTGCTTTAAACACAATATTTCTTCTATCCTTATGGCCAACAAGTTTGTATTTAGCATTCATGTGCTCAATGTTTCCTTAGTTAACTCATGCATTTTAAAGATCAATTCAATACATTGTTTAGCATCAAAATTAACCTTCTCCGCAGATGGAAGAGGCAGCAAATCAATGGGTGCACGAGGTAGGAAACCATACATAATTTTAAAAGGGCATATCTTAGTAGTAGAATGCAATGAACTATTATAAGAAAATTCAATATGAGGCAAGCATTGTTCCCATGTTTTCAGGATATTCTTCAAAATAACCCTAAGCATAGTAGACAGTGTTCTGTTGACTACTTTACTTTGTCCATAAGCTTGGGGGTGACATGTAGTACTAAAAAGCACTTTAGTCCCTAATTTAGCCCATAAACATCTCCAAAAGTGGCTAAAAAATTTAGTATCATGATCCTAAACAATAGTATTTGGCACACTATGCAAGTAAATAATTTCATGAAAGAATAATTTAACAACATTAGCAGCATCATCGCTTTTACACATGGTATAAAGTGTGCCATTTTCAAAAATCTGTCCATGACAACAAATATGCTATCCCTCCTCTTCTTTGTCTGAGGTACACAAGTTCCATGGATATGTGCTCCCATGGAACACTAGGTAGATGCAAAGACATATATAAACCATGAGTATTGACTCATGACTTAGCTTTTCGACATGTAGTGCAGCGAGCAACAAAACACTCAATATCTCCTCTCACCGTTGGCCAAAAGAAATGTGCAGCAAGTACGTACTCCATCTTCTTCACGCCAAAGTGTCCCATTAATCGTCCTCCATGCGCCTCCTGCAACAACAAAAGACAAACAGAGCTAACTGGGAATGCCTAGCTTGTTGAACACAAATCCATCATTAATGATAAACTTGTTGGCAACAATACAATATGTGCCTCGCTACCCCTTCTATCACTGGGTGAGGACACCACAAGATTGAACCCATTACAAAGCACCTCTCCCATTGAAGATAAATTAATCTAGTTGGCCAAACCAAACAGATAGATCGGAGAGGAATACAAAGCTATCATAATCATGCATAATAAAGTTCAGAAAAGACTCAGTTACTTTCAATGAATAATCTAATCATAAACCCACAATTCACCAGATCCCAACAAACACACTGCAAAAGAAGATTACATTGGATAGAACTCCAAGAAGATCGAGGAGAACGTTGTATTGAAGATCAAAGAGAGAGAGGGAAGAAGCCATCTAGATACTAGCTATGGGCCCGTTGGTCTGTGGTAAACTACTCACGTGTCATCGAAAGGCTGCAAGGACGATGTAGAAGCCCTTAGTGATCGATTCCCCATCGATAGAGTACCAGAAAAGCCTCCAGATGGGATCGCGAAAGAACAGAAACTTGCGGCGGCAGAAAAAATGTTTCTGGTGGCTCTCTAGGGTTTCCCAATATTTGAGAATTTATAGAAGTGGAATTAGGCCAGACGGAGCCATGTGGGGCCCACAAGGTAACAGAGCGCGCCCTACCCCCCTCGCCGCACCCTGTTGCCTTGCCGTCTCCTTGCTTTGCGTCTGTCTCCTCCCGAAGCTTCTAGGGTCTCTTATGTCCAAAAAAATCGTCAAAAAGTTTCATAGCGTTTGGACTCCGCTTGGTACTGATTTCTTGGAAAACCAAAAACAAGCAGAAAACAACAATTGGCACTAGGCACTGGGTTAATAAGTTATTCCCAAAAATGATATAAAATAGTACAAAAATGCATATAAAGTATCCAAGATTGATAATATGAAACACAAAAAATTATAGATACGTCGGAGATTGATAACCCACAAGTATAGGGGATCGCAACAGTTTTCGATAAGTAAGAGTGTCGAACCCAACGAGGAGCTAAAGCCAGAACAAATATTCCCTCAAGTTCTATCGACCACCGATACAACTCTACACACGCTTGATGTTCGCTTTACCTAGAACAAGTATGAAACTAGAAGTACTTTGTAGGTGTTGTTGGATAGGTTTGAAAGATAATAAAGAGCAAGTAAATAAAAGTAGGGGCTGTTGTGAGTAAAGAAGCAATAAAGTAAATATAGCGAGTGTCGAAAAGTGGTGGTAGGAGTTGTGAAATTGCCCCTAAGCAATTGACTACTTTACTAGACAGATAGCAAGTATTATGTGGGAGAGGCCACCGCTAGCATGTCATCCCTGACTTGGGATTCTATGCACTTATGATTGGAACTATTAGCAAGCATCCGCAACTACTAATGTTCATTAAGGTAAAACCCAACCATAGCATTAAGATATATTGGTCCCCCTTCAATCCTGTCTGCATCAATTTCTATGCTAGGTTGAAGCTTCTGTCACTCTTGCCCTCCAATACATAGTCCTATCAACATACAACTAACCCTATGATGTGATCCACGCACGTGCTCATATGATGAGCACCAAAGGACAACAACATAACCACAAGCAAATTAAATCAATCATAGCAATTCATCAACCACCGATAGGACAACGAAAATCTACTCAGACATCATAGGATGGCAACACATCATTGGATAATAATATGAAGCATAAAGCACCATGTTCAAATAGAGGGTACATCGGGTTGCGGGAGAGTGGACCGCTGTAGATAGAGGGGGGAAGGTGATGGAGATGTTGGTGAAGATGGCGGAGGTGTTGGTGTAGATCACGATGATAATGATGATGGCCACGGCAGCGTTCCGGCGGCACCGAAAGAGAAGGGGAGAGGGGGCCCCTTCGTCTTCTTCTTCTTTGACCTCCTCCCTAGATGGGAGAAGGGTTTCCCCTCTGGTCCTTGGCCTCCATGGCATGGGAGGGGCGAGAGCCCCTCCGAGATTGGATCTGTCTCTCTGTCTCTCTCTGTTTCTGCGTTCTCAGATTCTACCCTTTCACCGTTTCTTATATTCCCAGAGATTCGTAACTCCGATTGGGCTGAAATTTTAACACGATCTCTATCCGGATATTAGCTTTCTTGCAGCGAAATAAAGGCACCAACTGCCTTACGGAGTGGCCACGAGGGTCAGGGGCGCGCCCCCTGCCTCGTGGCCCCCTCGGGCATCGTCTCGCGTGGATTTTTCTTTCCAAAAATCATATATATTCAAAAAAAATCTCCGTCAGTTTTTATCCCGTTTGGACTCCGTTTGATATGGATATTCTGCGAAACAAAAAACATGCAACAAACAGGAACTGACACTGGGCACTGCATCAATATGTTAGTCCCAAAAATAGTAT